TTTAAATAAATTATAAATAAAAATAAATTTTTGTTCATAATTTTTATTATTATTAATAAAAATAGATTCGAAATCCATTTTTTAAATTTATTTGCAAAAAAACTAGAATTTCTTTATAACCATTATATAATTAAGTTTTTAAGTTAAAAAGATATTTATTGAAAAAAATATTTTTCAAAATATCATATCATTTCTCTAACCTCGATTATCATCGACAAATAAATTTCAGAAGATATACTATTGGAAATTTTTTTGGAAATGTTCGTCGCATTGCTTTCCACTTATATAATATTGGGAGGTGCAGTTGCTATTTTTAATGGTTTATTTATTTTTATAATTGCTGCAGATAAGGAATTAAGGCGACGTTATGTGATTATTTTGTTACAGGTTAATGGCAAATTTATTAAATTAAAATATTTCTAAATTAAAATAAAAATAATAATGCGAAATTCAGTTGTGGATTATGGACTTCGCATCTTTCACCAATGGAAAAGATTTTCTAACATTACTACATGCACTGCACAACTAATTATCTACTGATTATGCTCAATCCGTATGTAAAATCCATTCCTTTGCACAGATTGTCGAGGAAACAATGTTATCCTGGCTCATACTTTTTCTTGCTTTAAAAGGTTGCCATGCCCACAGACTTGCGTTAAATAAATAAAATGCTCTAATTATTTTCACTGAAAGGCCACCTTGTTTCTCACCTCTCTGCGAGTGCCACCATACCATAGTAAGATGCTGTTGCCTGAAGCAGTGTTTTAATATTATCGAGCTCTTAGCATGAATATTCACCGCAAAGTTCTCTTTCTGGCTTAACCTTAGCTGGCGCAATCTGCTACCATATATTGCTGTATAACTGTTTTGTAAAATGGAAGTGAAAATACAAATATCTACTGACCGAATCTTAATACATTTTTCCAGTACTATCATTCATCCTATTATTTTAAATAGTAGCAAAACTGTCTTTTTGAGGTATATGACATGATTTCATCCGATCATCTAGAATTCTACTAATTCTTCTGGCTTTTTTTTTAAAGAGTTTTCATTATTACTGGTTAGACTCGCTCCGCTGGCTAGTCGCATTCGACAGATATGCCAGAGAGTTCCTTGGCGATAGAAATATAGGTGAGTTGCCAGCATCATCCGGATTTTTGGACAGATTTACTCCTGCAGAACCTTAGTATCGGCGCTCCAGATTGAGCGAAACCCACTGAACCATCCCATCCTTAAAATCTTCCGGTTAATATTAGTTCATTTTCCACTATGCAGTTTCAATTATAAGCCTAAAAATGTTGTGGTGATACTATTGGCCATTCTTCTCATTTCGAGATGGAGAACTCTAATCTCAAACCATTTCACTGACCATCTCCTCCTGTTCATGTTCTCTCATTTATAAAAGCCACGTTATGGGTAGTGTAATCGTAATATTTCTATTAAAATTTCTCAAAAGTTCAGTTTAAAACACGCTTGCTCTGTAGCGATTTTTCAGGCTGAGGTAATGTTTTGCGGTTGCGATCGCCAATTTCATCTAAATTTTTGCCCTAATTATTTGATATTTAAACTGTATCCAGCATTGAAATGAGCGTTTCTTGGCTCGACCTTATTGCTCAAAATTAATTTTTTGAAAAGACATTAGAAATTTATAAACTTTTGTTGTTAATGTTGTTTTAACTTTTTAGATTATTGTCGACTTCTCTGTTGGCTTCTCATTAGTAATGTCTGGAACTACAAGGCTCATTATGAGCACATTGATCAGCCAAGAGTTATTAACAAGCACTCGATTCTGCCTATTTATGCCGTGGAATCTACTGTGTGTTTGGTATAAAATTTCCTTAAATTTCTCCTAAATATTTTAAATACATGAAAATTCACGTTGATTCACGCTGGCTCATCTCTATCGCTCATCTCTGTCGCTAAGCTAGTCCATTCGAGAATGGTGAGCTCTCTCTTAGCTAAATAAATTTGAAAAGATTTGCATTCGTAAAAAAGTTGGTAAATTAATGCAATTTCATTTTCATTTATTTATATTTTTTTTTAAACTGCATCCGGTATTTCTCGTTTGATTGAGCCCAGCAATCATTGGAGTGAGGCCTTTCGCCAAAAAATCATTTGGATATAAAAATGCTGCGCCATATGGAATTAAATTTTGAGTCGTAAGAAGCGAACCAATAATACGTTGTTGAAACAACACCACTCGATGATTTGCACCTCCATTTTACACTTCTACCTTTGATAATAAAATTATCTTATTGGAATAATTCGATATAAACCTTTGACCTTGTGCCAATAATTTGTCTCATTCAAAATATCATCAGGGCAGAACCAATGGCTTCTGTATGTTTAATGATGGTTAGCATTGACCGTTTGTTAGCACTCCATATGCCTCTGATCTATTTTCGGCATCAATTACGCACTCAGGTTGTACAGGTCGAATTTGAATTTTCACTGTCTTATTTATAAATCAAACGTTTCATATTTTTTTTTTTTGCAATTTTCAGTATTAAATACTTTACAAGTTTGATGGAGATATGTTGAATTTACCATCCAAAAATTTCTATTAAATTTACATTGAATCAATTAATAAAATTCATTTAAACTTGAACTTGAAAAAAAACAATAAAAAATAAAAATAAAAAAAAAATTTTTTTTTTATTTTTATTTATTTTTAGATATTAATTTGTGGTATACCGATGATTATAATTGTCATTTGTAATTGGATTTTTGCGTATGCGAATCAAACAATTGATAAGCCGATTTTTTGTTGGTTAGGAAATTTTATTATAATTTTATTATTATTTATTATAACATTTATCATTATATTTTCTTAATAAACTTTTTATCGTATTTTATTATTTTCATTTATTTATTTATTTATTTGTTTTATTTTCTCACAGAACTGTTAATTTTTTATTTCTAAGCATTTTTAAAAAATAATTTATTGCATTTCTTTATTGCATTTTTATTAATTTTGGATAACTATTCGAAAGCGAAAAGGCCAAAAAAATTTGCAATTCTGCCATCTTAAAGATAGAAATAAATTTAGTAAACTGCAAAATGTAAAAATAAATAAAATAATTTGAATCTATCGGCAAATTGTAATTTTTTATTTCTTTATTATGAATACTGAGCAAATCTTTTTTTTTAAACATAAACAACTGCAGGACACCGAGCGCGAGAATTCCGTTATTCAACACATTATTTCTGCTGATAAGCATATCAACGGCGATAGCTAGCGTTATCATTTACACTGCCGTATATATTTCAACAAAGAAATATTTTAGGAGTATTGATTTGAATTGTCGAGTATGATTGAATTCTTTATTATGATTTAATTTAACGAGCAAATTTGGATAAAATAACTCAGTGAGCTGCTGTTCTCATTTCGAAGCGCTAATGTTGGGATTTCACTCCTGACAGGAGTAAATCTGAAAAAAATCTTCAAAAAATCTGCCTGCAGCGACTTCCCTATTTTTATATTTCTATTATCAAGACTCTCCTAGTCTGATAAGCCAATGGAACGAGCTTTAACCAGGAATGGTGAGCGCACTTAGAAAAAAATCAACAAGTTAAAAAGGGTTTATAAATAATAATTTATAAAAATTTATAATATTTATAATATATAATAATTTATAAGCGAACTTATAAATAAACTAACTAATGAGAATAATTTCTTTTAAAGAGTCACTTGGGAATATCAATTAACAATTGTCAATGATATTTTAATCATTAATATTATTAATAATCAATAATATTAGCAATTATCAAATAGAGATAAGCAATAAAAAAGATTTAAGTTTTTCTCCAGTCAAGTTCATGGAACCCAACTGCAATCAAGAATCCTTGGTTTATAGTTCAATCTCGATTTTTTCACCAATTATAAATTTTAAATTTTAGATATTTATGAAAAATAAATAATAATAAGTAAAATGAAAAATAAATAAAAATAAATAAAAATAAATACTAATGAATTTATTAATGATGAGTCTGAATGAGCATTATTTGAAGTAAAATTACTTGAAATACGGTCTACTAATTCGTCAATAATGCATAATATTGGATTGAACAAATCTCGTAATCTATAAAAAATTCTAGCTAATTCTAGCTTAATATTATTTTTTTTAAAATTTATTTGCCAAATAAATTAATCTATTTATTTAAATTCTTTTATTCAAATAGTCAACAAAGATTAACTTAGAAACAAAAGGATTAGAATTATATGGTGGGATAAATCTAATGTTTTATGCTAAATTTTTGTTATAATATTTATTGTTTCAACTACTATTATCGTAATTTTTATTATAATTATCATAACTATTACAATTATTGTTTTAATTTTTGCAATTATATTATTATATTATATTACACTATATTATATTTATATTATATATAATATTAATTAATATAATATTAATTTATGATATTTATGATGAAATGATAGAAGTAAGTCAAAATTAGTGAAGAAATTTGGCTTAGCTTTTCCTATCACATAAAATTTTTTAAAATTGCATATTGCATTCCAAACTTATATTTAATATTGTTCGACAATTCGCTTGAGCGCCAAGCCTCAAACTCGATTCATTAAGAAATTTAAGGTCGTATTGAAAGCTAAAAAAATTATAAATTATTTTAACAACATTAATTAATAAATAAAAGCAGAATAGCGTACATCATAATAAAAAAACATGCAAATTATTATAATATTTTACGAACTTTAGTAGCAATCATTTGGGTCTTAAGCCGACCATAAATGAAAAATTCTCAAAACTTCCTGCTTTCGCCACATATAAATGTTATTACTAATCGTTATCGTTATTTATTAATAGGCTTTTTGGCTCGAATCTTATTTCGAACCTTTTTCTTCAAAAGGGCCACAAGCAGTTGATTTAAGAATTTAGTTGACGAATTGGTTCTCCAATTACGATAACAATTTATATTTTAAGTCTACTCAATCATTGGTAGCTTTCAAGGAACGACAATTCAAGTTGGCCGTCACAATGGGAATATCGAATATTTTCACAATACTGCTGTATATAATTCCGATTATTGTACAGTTGTTGTACGATCTAATAACACATGACAATCCAGATTATATTGTTTTATATTCATCAGTTAGTACGAATTTGAATCCATTAGCAAATATCGCTATATTAGTGTTACGACAAAATGATATTAAAGAAAGTTTGATGAAAAAATTTCCAGTTTTTCAACGAACAATAAGAATATCAGCGAAAGTAGCGCCACCAAAATTCGCACCATCAAAACCTGCAAAAGAAAATACTCATAATTAGCTAGTAAGCCAATTTACTTCTCTTTCCTATGAAATTCCAAAATCGATTTCATATCAATAATTTTTTTACAATTAATTTTAATTAATGGTGAAAAATTAATTAAATTAAATTAATTTTTACTGTAAAAAATTCTTAAAAAATTAAATTAATTAAATAAAATTAAAATATTTGCAGTTAACTTTACTTATATTAATATCGGTGATGACCTTCGAGATTTTTCAAGATTTTTTTAATTTTTTAATTTAAATAATTCAAGAATTTTGAAAGTTTGTTTGTATAATCTTTTTCATGCAAATTGGCTAACCACTTAGGAGGTGAACTTTTCGCGAGATAGTCGCAGAATTACCTTACATACTACATACTAAACGACAGCTTTATTTTCACCAAAAGAATTGCTGGCTTAACCTTAAGCGAAATTCCACAGCACAACTTTCAACCATCATATTCCTATTCGATAATAGTCGTAGATAGGATTTTTTTAAAAACGACTATTTTTTTTTCTTGCAACAATTAATTTATTATATCGAATTTTGAGGTGAAATAATATACCAAATGTTACTGGTAAGTATTCGTTGTATTTTTTTATTTTTTTGTATTTTGTATTTGTTTTTAAATAATAAATACTATTTGGCTTTTTAATCGAGTAGAAACACACGAATTAAAGTGCTTATCGCTAAATGATTTTAAAAGAGTTGAATTGGACTATTTCAAAATTCGCTGAATTAAATAGCAAAAAAATGAAAAAAAATCCAATTGTTTTCCGGAAGGATTATTATGAATGGATCAGGCAATTATAAATCTTAGTTATGTTTCGTAATTTAGGTATTACAATCTTCCATCTAATTTTAGATCATAATTAAGGAATTTATTGCTGAGTTTTTCGAATAGTTCCGGTAGTGGCAGAGAGATGAATATCCAAAACAATAATGAGCGTAATAATAAGCGAAAAACTCATTATTAGTTAGATTGGCTTCTGGCAAAATTAATCCATTGGAGAATAGAGAAAAATCCGATAACAAACATATCTATAGGTACAGTAATTTATGATAGTTTAAGATCAATAAAACCCTGGCCAAAATATTAAAATTAAAAAAATTCTCTTAGAAAGCTTAGAAAATTTTTAAATGGCCAAAAAATTTTTAGTACGCAATGAACCATTGTCTGATTAATGATTTGATAATGATTAATGATAGTAACATTTGAACATTCTTATTCACTGTTTTTTTTTCAAATTTAGAAGTTGCAATTCCGTGATGATATACCTTGATGTTAATATTTTTGTTATCTGCATTATATTAATAAATTAATGCAATTAATTAATAAAATTTCGAATTTTTTCCATATTTTGAAAAAATATTAATAATATCAATATTAACTATTGTACTAATATTGTACTATACGGCATCGTTTTCCTGAAAATTTAATTAAGAAATCTTGCAGAAGAAATTGAATAAAATAATATTAGGCCATTGTACTGCGCTGCATAGCTTTTTGAAAATTTAATTAAGAAATCTCACAGGAAAAATTAAATAATTTTGCGAGCTTTTAATAGCGATTTAGTTTAGTAATAATAGTTTGTATAGTAATTTATACTTCATTTAAATGAAATTGGTGAAAATTAATTGATTCTAATTGATTGACATTAATGTTCTATGAATTTGCTAAATGGAATAACAAAAAAAGGAAGAGGAGCAATAAGTAACAAAACGAAGTTTGTGAGGGAACATAAAATGTGCTCTTCGAAAAATTCGAAAGTACTGAAGTACTGATATTTCAGTTCAAAGGAGTTTTCAAAAAAGTTCGGAAGGGTTGACTTTGCACAGGCTTCGAATAAAAGCAGTGGGAAAGAAAAGCGAAAAGTTTGAAAACTATCGTCAATGCCGCTGTTTGCATTCCACCTATCATATTATGAAAGAAATTATTGGTTCATTCTTGTAATTTACCAAAAAAAACCTTTCAAAGTAAATTTGCGCTTCTTTTCTTTCACGAGGATTGTACTGTTTGAACGGAGGTTGATATGATCATGTGAGATTTTACCCGCTCGACGTACTCGTAAAATATATCTTAGACAAGAGTGGTCAAAGGCAAATAACTTTTTAATATCCTCCACTCTCATTGGTCTCAGAACCATATAAGATCGAACGAAAACGGCTATAAGATGCGGACTTTCGTTTTAATGGTGATTTCATGAGGGCGCCATCAACCAGAAGAACGCATTTCTAGTTGCCATTAGTTGCCATTTCGTCTTTCGCCTTTCGTCTTTTCCCTGATAATTCGGTATTAGAGTGGATCCAGGGTATTTAAAATTGGGCACTTCATTAACCAGCAATGATTTTATAAAAGGAGACATTTTATTAGCTTCTTTTATGAAAGACGAAAAGGCGTTCTTTTTATTTACATTGACCCTGATTCTCGCTGCAATTATCGACAGATTGTTTAGAATTATTTGCATTTCATCGCAATCACCAAAAAAGACTACATCATCAGTGCATTCAAGATCTGCAACACCATGCTTTGGACTGATTTCTATATCTCTTGAGTGCCGCTCTCCTTTATCCAGCCTATCGCATAGTTGAATATCATAGGGGAGAGGACGCAGCCTTGACAGACACCAGTTCTTATTTCAAAAGAGTCTATCAGTTCTCCATATACACTTACAGACTTTACCAATGTATGCTGATAAAACGCATTTATGAGTCGAATAATCTTCTCTGGAACATCGCCATGTTCCATTATCCTTCAAAGTGCCGTTCCATTAATTGAATCGAAGGCAGCCGCAAAGCCGATGAAACATGTGGTTGTTGATATAAAACGGTATTCTAGCACTCTTCTTAGCGTCTAATCAGCACAACCGCATCCTGGTGTGAGTCCAGTTTGATTAGGGATTCTGCTGCTTCATATTTCTATAAGTCTATTCAGCAGAAGAGAAGCAAAAATTTTTCCAAAGATGCCTGGAAGGCTGATTCCTCGACAATTATCACAATATTATCTGTTATCTTTGATAGGAATTGGATACAAAATTGGTCATTGGTATTATTTCATTCTTCGATACCAGAGAATATATTTGTTGAAGGTGTGATATGAGGAACGATGGACAATATTTGAAGGATTCAGCCAGGAAACCATCTTTTCCCTAGGAATTTTATTGATCTTGTATTTCTGGATGATAGAGATTATTTCCTTTTCTTTTGGCTGTTCGCAGTTACAAGCGTGCGAATCAGCTATTTTTGTAGCAATACGTGGCTCATCATAGTTAAGTTTAGTCTTCTTTCATCTTACGAGGCGATCCTTAATACTTTTAACAGGCACACCATTTATCTATCTTTTGCTATTTCACTGATCGTATCTTCAGGATTATAGTTGCTTTATGAAGAAGACGGAATGTTTTTCTATTATCGCCTAATCGAGCCGCAGTCTCCATTCTCAAGGCCATATGGGTCCAATATTAATTTCTATCCCGCCGTGCTGCAGTTGTTGTAATTCTTCGAAGTATCCGATAGTCATGATCTCTTTACATTCGTGCTTCCCCCCCCCCCCGCCCCCAGACAGTTGGATAGTTGCTTTCGATGCCCAACTAGCTCATTTCCAACTAATATACCCTACTATGAAGTGGCTGGCATTCCTTTAGTTGTGATCAGTATTCATTCGCCTTTCTAGAGATACCACTGATGTTCATTGCATGAGATCCGCTTTGAAATGCATTTACTGTCCCAAAATCTTTTACTTTTACTTTGAGATAGTTCTCGAGACGTTTTTTCTTGCGAGCTATCAGCTTTATGTGAATGTGGCTCGAACCATAAAATGGTCTGATCCATGAAATCCCAGTTTCAGTGTTCTTTCAACAGACTTAAATATAATGGACTGATTAAAATATAATGGATCTAGTTGGAATGTTGGATATCCGGAGAGTTCCAGGTGACTGGACATTTTTTTTCCGACGTCAGAAAGATGTATTAGTTAACAAAGAGTTCATGTTGTTAGGCGAAGAAGGCGTTCTCCATTGGTCTGACGCTATATTTCCAATTACTTATTTTGTCGTAGCGGTATCGCGATGCGTAGATTCCAGTCTTCTCCGACTAAATAGAATCTATTTTATTAAATAATTATAATATTTCTCCAGTTTGTCGAATATTTTAAATGAAATTATGGGAAAAAAAAGAAAACATTATTCACTCAAATAAAAAATTTTATATTAAGTATGAATTTCAACGGCATCGCATACCTTTTACCTTATATAACTTTTTTTCTAAAAGCAATCACCACTGCTAGTTAGGTTCATTCCGCTGGCCAATGGACTATGTACATTGTACCAGGGATCCATTCAGCGATAAGCGAATCGTCAGCATATTAATACTAAATATAGAATAATGAATTGTTTTCAAATTTTTTCTTCCTTTATTCCATTTCCTTTAAGACTTCCTAAATATTGCCAACCATTTCTTCTGGCGATTTATGGCGATTCTTTTTCCTCAATGTATAATTTCACGTTGCATGATATAAATTTTATAAATTTTTGAACGAATTATATTTGTTAAATTGGGAGGAAAATATGTAATTTAAGCCGATAAAAGGCATATAAATTAGGATAAAATTATTTCTTCAGAACTCATTAATTTTCATTTTCATTAATTAATTATTATAATATTTCTCCAGTTTGTCGAATATTTTAAATGAAATTATGGGAAAAAAAAGAAAACATTATTCACTTAAATAAAAAGATTTTATATTAACTAATTTATGCGCTTGATTTCGTTATTATTCTTAATCGAAATTAGCAAAATATAAATATTGTTACAGTGAATTATCATTATATTATCATTATATTTTATAAAGAATATTTACGATTCAACAATCAGCCAATTAGCTAATTAATAACAATAATAATTCGTATTTGATCGACGCTTATATAATATGTAGTTTTAATTATAAATTGTAGTTTTTTATTTTGATTTCTATATACTTTTATTTTATTTTTAAGACAATAGTTTGCTGAATAGTTT